GTTTTGCTGTGAACCAAGTCAGCCAGCATATGCAAGCACCTAAAGTTCATCATTGGAATATGGTGGAAAGGATTATGAGATACCTAAGGGATGCCCCGGGACAAGGTGTTTGGATGGGATGCAACAAGAGCACATAGATTGTGGGATATTGTGATGCAGATTGGGCTAGTGATAGAGTGGATAGGAGGTCTACTACATATTATTGCAACTTCATTGGAGGCAATATAGTTACATGGAAAAGCAACAAGCAAAATGTGGTATCATGTTCAAGTGCTGAGGCAGAGCATAGAGCAATGAGGAAACTGACTAGTGAGCTCATTTGGATCAGAAACTTGCTAAGAGACTTGGGCATAGAAACATCAACACCAATTACCATGCATTGTGATAACCAGGCAGCCATTCATATTGTTTCAAACTCAGTGTTTCATGAAAAGACAAAGCATATTAAAGTGGATTGTCACAAAGTGAGACAAGCCGTGGAGCAGAAATTTATTCTACCTTGCTACACTAGAAGTGAAGACCAGTTGGATGATATCTTAACCAAAGAAGCAAGTAGTAAAGTCTGTGAGTTCATTCATCCGAGATTAGAACTCATAGACCTTGATAGATCATGATCTCCTTAAGCCATGAAGCATCTACTCTTTTTCTTTTGTGTGGTTTTGTCCCATTGGGTTTTTTCCATACAAAAAGTTTTAACAAGGGATGTTTTCATGGTTCCAAACATTACCATAAGGTATGGCAAAGTTTGAGGGGGGGGTATTAAATTAAATAAGTAAAGAGAAATATATATTTTACTAGATGCATAGTCCCCGCGCAAGCGCGCGGGTTGGATACATTATTGATATGTTGTGTAGTTTTGTGTATGAGACGTTGCTGTTTTTTTTTAACATTTGTTTATCTGGTTTATCTATAATGGTGATGAATGAAACATTAGAAGTCACACAACTTGATTAGTCTGATAAAAGAATAAACATCAAATTCATTTGGGATGATATTTTCATATTTTATCTTCGTAGTGATTTTATCGAGCATTCCATTTATTAGTGATTTTATCGAGCGTTACTGTTATTAGTGCTTTCATGTAAAAAAATAATTTAATGGAGACAAGACAAAAAAGGACATGTGTTTATTAGTGTAATTTTCTTTCTGAAATTATATTGTATATATATATATTTTCTTTTAATTGTGATGTATATGAGATTTATGGCCGATCTGAATGGTTCGGGGTAAATATTTATTATTGAAAAATATGTTTTTATTTGATTTGATTATTATAACTGAATTGAAATGATATTGGAGGTTAGAACATGATAACATTTCTTATAAAAGTATCTAAGATGGTCTCATAAAGTTTCAAATCCTTAAGCCATTTTGTATCCCAAAAACCATCATAAAAAATCATTCGGAATATCCCTAAGCTTTTAGGTATCCCGAAAAGCCCAAATTAAAAAAAGAAATTATATGAAAACACTGCGTTTCGAATCCGCGCACTCGCGGTACCAACTTCTAGTCACCAACTTACACCACTGGGTCATTTCATCACTCATCGATAACATTTAATCTTACAAAATGTTATACGTTTTTGTTTTCCCTAATAATACATATGGGGCCCGTAAACTTGCTGAGGTGGATAGCCTTAGGAGCTTCAAAAGTGAATCATTATAAAAAAAAAATTACATGTAAACACTGCGTTTCGAACCCGCGCGCTCGCGGTACCAACTTCTAGTTACCAACTTACACCACTGGGCCATTTCATCACTCATTGATTTCATTCAATCTTACAAAATGTTATACATTTTTGTTTTCCCTAATAACACATGTGGGGCCCGTAAACTTGCTGAGGTGGATAGTCTTAGGAGCTTCAAAAGTGAATCATTATAATATAGATTATATCTTCTCTAGTAAACTAAGGATGTTTGGTTAACTAAGGAAAAAAAATCCTCTTCTTTTCTCTTTTCTCTCATCAGGAATTTTCAGATCTAAGGAAAAAAATCCTCCTTCTTTTCTCTTTTCTCTTTTTTAGTAAGCATATTCTTTTCTCTTTTCTCCTTATTAAATTAAATAAATAAAAAGAAATATATATTTTGTTATATCTTCTCAAGTAAACCAATGGTGTTTGGTTACTACAGTAAACATATTCTTTTCTCTTTATAATCTATTATAAAAACATTTTTCAGATCTAAAGAAAAAATTCCTCCTTCTTTTCTCTTTTCTCTCATCTCTCTTGTTCTTCAATCTCAAATCTTCAATTTCTTATATTATTTCTCCTATCATTGGCGGTTGTCCATGCCAAAATTGACGTGGTTTTTGCCTCCCTTTGGGAGTGTTCTTGTCACGCATTTGATGTCCATAATTCATGGTGTTACTGTGTCGGTGTTGTTCTGTTAACCTTTGGTAACAGTGTTCTTATTACTCTGGATTTGTCCATCGAGTGTGTCATTGGTTTCAGTTGGTACATTGTTCCTACAAACCGCCATGGCCGGATGAGTTTAAGTGTGGGTCGCTCATCGGAGAGACATGGGAGAGATGTCTTGAACAATCACTGCTTGGTTGCGTCGTTTCGTTATATGATGAAGCGAATCTTACAATAATGTTTGCAGTGATTCACCAAATGAGAGTTTCTCAGAGGTCTATAACAGTGGTCATCGTTAAGTCAAGTGATTCTGTTTTTTGTGATTCACGGTCTTATGGAGTTCAAGGTGAATGTTCCCCATTCTTGAAAATGGACTATGTCGACGTGACAATTGAAAAATCGAAGAGTGGCATCGATACGTTTAGGCAGAAGCAAATCATGATCTGAGTATCCATGATCATGATCATATACGGCCAGATAACGGCATCATTTACCATATGTATGTTTCTCAGATTGACAAAGCCAACATACAAAGAGACATGGAAGCTTGGATTATGAATGTCAGAATACGTATTTGGAGAATTGGTGAACAAGTCAACCAATATCATAAATGGAAACAAACCAGTAGGATAAAGTCAAAGCTAGACCCTGATAGAAGGTGTTGGATACGTAAGCATTGGTATCCATTTGTAGAAACATGATTTAATTTTAACGGAAGCATTGGGTTTCATTATGCTGTGTGTAATAAAGAGTCTTAGCTAAAAGGTGCTAGCTAAGCACACAATTCACATCAAAAGAAGTTTGGATATGGAGAAGGAAATTAACATAGTGAAACTTCTGTTAGCGGATAAGTCTTTACTTAGGAAATCATTGTCAAAATCACTTCTCTTATTCTATTGGCTTCTGCAAATGACGCATATATCTGCCTATGTAATAATGTGTTTTTTTCGAAAATTCTGTCTATTGACATTGTAATTCTTTGGTGATTTCATTCTTGTATCTTGACACTGCGTATTCATGATTAATAAAATTCTAATTTGTCGGAAAAAAAGAAGATTCACCATCTTATTCTTTTTTTTTTTTATCATCATTTTACCATTTTATTCTAATGAAGCGAAAATATATTTATAAATTAAACATTATAATCAGTTATGATTGATGTGTGTTCTTGTAACGTGTTACTAAGTGTTTTTCTGCACCATGTACAACGATAAAATTTTAAATATAATTTTTAAATATTTTAGATGTTATTATTTTGTATACCAATGTTTTAAAATAAAATTTCATTTAGTTAAACATAAGATTAAGATTAAATAAAATAATTATATTTATTTAAAAGTCGATTTAGGTTATATTTAAAATTATAATTTAGATATATTTTTATTTTATTTTTTTAGTTAAGATATATTAGATTGACTCGTAAAAACTAAAAAATGATTTCTTATCATTATCAAAATATAAAAGTGAACAAAATTTTTAAAATTTGTAGATATAAAAAAAAGCAAATGATATTTTAAATTGATAACTTTTTAAAAATGATTGTGTAAATTTTAGAATTTTGTTTAATAATAAAAATTCAATGATTATAAAAATATACTTATATAATTATTTAAAAATTTGTATAATATTTTATATTTCTATTATTATATTAGTTAATGATATATTTGAATATATTTATTTTACTGATATTTTATAAATTATTACTAAATTCTCAAAAGTTTAGCAAAAATAAAAATCAACATTTAAATTAGTTGTAATGTCACATTTAATGGTCAGTTTTTATCATCAATTTCAGTATGTTTTGTTATATTTTTTTTACTGAAAATGATTGTAGAAAATGAAATGTGTGAAATCAATTCATAAATAATATATAGGAGAGTGGATTGATATTAAAAAGGTTAAATCACATTCTATGTTGAAAATGTTACTTTTAGCAAAAACCAAAATTAAATTAATAAAATGTGTCGTAGGGGTCTTTTCAGTACAAATCCAAAATATACGGGGAAAATTAATGAGAGAATGAAAGATAAGGTCCCATCTATAGATTCTAGACTAAAAAAAAAGAGCGCCTCCCTCCTCGTAACCCTATCTAAGTACAGTCACACTCAAAAACCCTTTTAATCTTCATCTTCCTCGTTAGATCTAAAAAATCACCATTTCTTTCCTCCGTATAAACCCTTTTTAAATCTCATCATCCTCCTTCTCAGATCTGTTTCGCTTAAGTTGGAAAAAAGTTCTTCATATTGGAGCGTTTCGATCTCCTCCTTGGGATCTTGCTCGTTTTTTTATCTTAGCGTTTAGTGGTGTTTAATAATATGACGACGCCTTATCCTGGAGCGATGCAGGCGAGTTTATTTTCAAAAAATATTGTTTAATAATGACGACCGCTTATTGGTTAGTGTAGAGTATCTGAATCAGTGTTGTGTTTTGTGTGTGTGCAGGTGGGTTCGTACTTCGTGGGACAGTACTATCAAGTGTTGCAGAAGCAGCCTGATCGTATTCACCAGTTTTACTCTGAGAGTAGCAAAGCTATTCGCGTTGATGGTGATTCGAGCGAGACAGCTGATACTTTGCTGGTAATCATCATAATAATATTAGTCTTTGTTTCTGTTCATAGGAATTTAGTTTTTTTTTTTTTTTCAAAGTTGATATTAGGCCTGGGCATTTCCGGTATTGGTTTCGGTTTAGTTCGGGTAGAGGGCTATAGAATCCATTTATGACCTGACCAATTATCGGTTCTGGTAGTTTCGGATTGGATAGTGAAACTAGGAACAGGCGAAATTCTGTTCCCTTTTGGATCCGGTTGGGTTCGGTTATTTCAGATAATTCGGTAAATTATTGGGTATTTTGAGTAAATTATTTAACAATTAAGATAGATATGATAAAAATGTCGGACAATTTGGATTATTTTGGATATTTCAGGTATTTTTGGATAATTTTGGGTAGTTCGGATATTTAAATAATTAGATGTTTTTTTTCAAATAGTTTCGGATACTTAAAATGGACTTTTGATATATATATATATATATATAATATTTTATATATTCGATTATTTCGGATATAGAAATATAGGAACTGTTTGGATGTTTAAAAGTCGATCCAGTTTTGGGTATTTTGGTTTGGTTCTGGTTCGGATCTTTGGTTCCGTTTTTTTGTGCCCTGGCCTAATTGATAGATTTCAATCATATGAAAATCCTCTTTGTTAATTAGGATTGTGTATTGTGATTGCAGAATATTCACAACATGGTCATGTCACTGAACTTCACTGCCATCGAAGTGAAGACCATCAATTCAGTTGAGTCCTGGGAAGGTGGTGTTCTCGTGGCTGTTTCAGGCTCTGTGAAAACAAAGGAGTTTAGCAACAGGAGGAGTTTCATGCAGACTTTCTTTCTTGCTCCTCAGGAGAAGGGTTACTTTGTTCTCAATGATATTTTCCAGTTCATCGATGAGGGAACTGTCTCCTATCATCAGCCTTCTTATTTGTCTGAGAGCAAGGGAGACGAGGCTCAGTTCAATCCTCCAAACCCTCATCCAGAAGAACCCCAAGGTTTGTTTGTTTGCCAAGTCATGAAAAAAGCTAGTTATTAACGGCTTGTGTATTTAACATATTCAAAGTGGTAAATTTGCATTTTTCTGAATATTGATTTGTTGACATCACTCCAGTTCCTGACTATGCGTTGGAGCAAGAGGCAAGAGAGTATGTGAATGCTGTCCAGATCAAAGATGATCTTGTGGATGAGTACAGTCTGCAAGAGGACCAACATCGTGAAGACTACGAGGATGAAGTTGAGGTTGATGAAACACCTAGGGAGGAAGTTGTGGTTGATGTGGTTCACGAACCACGGGCTGCACCACCAGAGGAACCTGTTGGTGAAAAGTCGAAGATGAGTTATGCGTCAATTGTAAGTACACAGCCTCTATGGTTACAGTAACCAAACATCATATCTAATCGACTTAGGAAGCATGTATCTTGCAGTGTTCATTCTTATTTGTGTCAAGTGTGTCAGTCAGAGTAGACTGTAGATAGGGGATAATCATCTCGTAACACGCCCGGATAACAATGATTAGGAGTTGTCAGTTGTACGTTTAATTTGCTTTTGTCTCAGTTTGGTTATAGAAAATTGGATTTATAACTTGAAATGTACTATTCTTTCTCTTGTCCTCAGCTACGTGTTGCAAAGGAAGCAGCTGCTGTGCCTGTTGTTTCTACACAACCATCATATAACAAGAACTCTCAAGAGACTAATGAGTGGGATCAACCTCAGGTGGCTGCGCCTCTGGCCCCTGCTCAGCAATCAAACGCTTCTTCCGCGTATGTTTCCGACTATGGAGCAGAAGCGGAAAATGAATTTGAAGACTGTAAGTTGTTTTTTTACTTTCGAGCAGTAAAGTTTTTAACTTCCTCATATCAGAGAGTAGTACGCACATAGAAGTGAATTAGATTAGGATGTGAGTTCTATTTGATTTTCTTTCTCATTTTGGAAAAATGCATATTCATGTATTACTTTATTTTTTGTTCCAGCTGAGATGAAATCAGTGTACGTTAGGAATTTACCTTCCGACATATCTGCTTCTGAAATCGAGGAAGAGTTTAAGAACTTTGGTAAAATCAAGCCTGATGGTGTTTTCCTCAGAACCCGCAAGGTAATAATGATATTCATTTGCTTGCGCTTTTTGATTTTTGGTAAAGTGATATGAAGAAGAAGAACCAAAGCTAAACAATCTTACACAACCGAAACATGCAGGATGTTGTTGGCGTTTGCTACGCCTTTGTTGAGTTTGAGGACATGACTTCCGTCGAAAATGCTATTAAGGTATAAGATTCTTTTGCACAACAACCACCATGCAACTCGTCATTAGATTAAGTGTTTTTCTCTGTTCTTATCGGTTTCACTCTTGTGTAATAAATAGGCTTCTCCTATATACTTTGGTGGGAGACAAGTATACATTGAGGGACGAAGACCTAATCCCGCTGGTGTTCGTGGAGCAAGTAAGTCTTCTGTAGAAACTGTGCTCTGTTCCCAAACAATTTCTTTGTGTTATTTAAACTTGTTCCCAAGCAAGTAACTCATTTTGACGATGATTTTCTATGGACCAGGAAGAGGAGGACGTGGAAGGGGTGGATACCCAACAGAAGCACCAAGAGGGCGGTTCGGTTCTTCCCGTGTGTCCGGGAGAGGAAACCAGGATGGAGGTGGTGACTATAGGCCAAGAGGCAACGGTTACAACCGTGCTGGCCGCTAAGGAACAAAGGAAAAGCAGCAGTTGAATCTCTCTTCTATAAGTTTTATAACCAAGAATGAAATGATTCAGAGGTTTGGTTTTTGGTTCACAGAAACAGAGATTTTGGTTTATACATGTTTTCTTTTAATGTGTTAGATATAATATGTTTAGGGCCTGGACTCTCTTACACCCTTCCTTTGATAATGGCTTTGGTTATGTAACATTCCAATTTTTTTTTTGTTTTTCCTTCACATCATTGGTTTGAATTCGAAACTTCAGTGTGCTGCTTTTTCTGTCTTTTAGTTAAACTGTTTTGTCCAACTCTTGAGAGTTTGAGAAAAAATGCATTTTCAACCATCAAATGACAGTTAATACTTTACAAGTTTAAACCATTAAAGGTGTAACACTTGAAACCATTAAACCAATTTGGTTCTCACATTCAGTTTTCAAATGAGCATCAATTAAGCTGCTGGTTAACTTAATCAAACACAAGATCTGTGTAATCTCCATAAACATGGTTGCTTATTATTAATGATGCTTTTCAGTCTTTAAAAAACTTAAAGCGCACATACGATTCGAGTATGTTGTTCAGGAAATCGACAAGTCACAAGACACATAATGAAGCAGAGAGAGACGACATAAACCATTGATGTATCATCAATCGCTGTGTCCTCAACATCAATCGCTGGTACTGAGGACACAACGAAGACAAGTGCCTTCATGGAGCAGATCAAAAGCCTTGTTGATCTCTCCCAATGTCATGTTGTGCGTTATGTACTCGTCCACTTTTATCTCCTGCATTTATTGTACAAAAGTTGAATGTTTGAAAAGAAGATAACATATTCTTGCTTTAAGTTTTAAGTTTTTCTAACCTTGTTCATATACTTCTCTACAAGCCAAGGCACTTGGGTTCGACTCTTGAAACCACCAAAAGCTGTTCCTTTCCACACACGACCAGTCACAAGTTGGAACGGTCGTGTTGATATCTCTTGTCCTGATGCTGCAACACCCACTATAACCGAAGTTCCCCATCCCTACAATAACGTCTTTACACTTGAGCACTCTCTTGTCAAGATATATAGGCTCTAAATGGTTCATTGTGTTTACCTTGTGACAGCACTCCAAAGCGGCTCTCATCACGGAGACATTCCCGATGCACTCAAAGCTGTAGTCAACACCTCCATCAGTGAGATCGACTATCACTTCTTGAATTGGCTTTTGGTGGTCCTTTGGGTTCACAAATTCATTAACACCAAACTTCTTTGCTGAGATTCCAACCAAGAAAGAACTCAATGTATTGTATAAATCCTTGTCTGGTAAACCACGCCAATGAAGAAAAGAAGATGAGATTTTTTACCAGTTTCATACTTCTTGCTGTCGATATCAATGCCAATGATCCTTGTCGCACCAGCTGTTTTCGCGCCCTCAGCAACCTGTCCATTGAAGATTTTATAAACTTAACCAAAACGTTCTATTCCATAGAAAGAATTAATTATGGAAGTTTTAGAGTTTAGAAAAGTAGTAGCTTACAGCAAGCCCAACAGTACCAAGACCAAAAATGGCAACATTCGACCCTGGTTCAACTTTTGCAGTATTCCAAACTGCTCCAAGGCCTAATAGGATCAAGAAACATGACACTCTTAAGGATCACATACTTCAACATTATCAAAAACTCGGAAGACCTAATTGGTTCATATAATTATATTAGAAAAAAGGGTAGTAAGGAAACCATGTAGATCAATCTTATATGTAATGTTGCTTCAATCTTATATGTAATGTTGCTTCAAAACAAAACCACCAAGCAGTAAAATGTGTAACATAAAGACTGCATTTAATTAATCAAGTTTGACTCTTACCAGTGGGAACACCACATCCAAGAAGGCAGACTTTCTCCAAAGGAGCCTGAGGATCGATCTTGGCAACACTGACATCATGAACAACAGTGTACTGACTAAACGTGGAGGTACCCATGAAGTGATAAATGGGTTTCCCATTAACCGAGAACCGGCTCTTACGGTCGTTCATCATAACCCCAACACCAGTAGCGGACCTAACCTTCCCGCAGAGGTTAGTCTTGCCCGATTTGCAAAACTTGCATTCACGGCACTCAGCTTGGTAACAAGGGATAACATGGTCACCAGGCTGAACTTCAGTCACACCTTCACCAACACTCTCAACAACCCTGTTCCCAGAACCAAAAAGAAAAGATCTTTAGATTTGAGGAGAATAGGCCTAGTCCAAAAACCGGAACCTGATCAGAATTACCCAAAACCAGACCGAAACCTTCAAATAAATACCCGAATGGTTCATATATTTTTATATCCAAAATAACCGAATCGAGAATCAAACAGTTACTCAATACTGTATGTTAAAATACTAATTATATATATATATATATATATATAAATTAACTAAATATATATATATATATATATAATTTAAAAATCTATTAAAAGTATCCGAAAGTAGTAGAAGAAAACTAAAGTATTATAAAGTATTAAAACCCTCGAAAATATCAGGATATTTTCATCCAAAATATCAAAATTAATCTGGAAATATCTGAGATTTTTATCGGAAATATCCCTAATCATTTGATATTTACCCAAAAATGCCCTGATATTTAACCCCAATTACCCGAAATATCCAAACCCGAACCGGAACCAAATGAGAACTGTTTTTTTTCCTGGTACTTTTCGGTTCCTAGTTTTACTATCCGAACTGAACCCAAACTACCTCAAACCGAACCAAAAATAAGCAAAGTAGTAAATGAATCCACTAGCCCCTACCCGAACCACCCGAAATACCCAAATCTATACCCGAAATGCCCAGCTACAGAAGAATCTCAAAACTTGATCTGATGAATAGTGAACCTACCCAGCAGCCTCGTGACCGAGGATACATGGGAAGAGACCTTCAGGATCCTGCATCGACAAAAAGAGACAACAATCAAAGATCCTCAGATCCCCAATCTCTAATAAAAACAGAGAGAATGATATTATTAAACCTTGCCGCTCCAAGTGTATGCGTCGGTGTGACAGAGAGCGGTGAAGAGGATCTTGATCCGAACCTCACCGGCTTGAGGAGGAGCGACTTGGACATTTTCGATGACGAGAGGTTTGTTCGGCTCGTAAGCCACCGCAGCTATATGGAGATCCGAGTCAAAAAAATCATAGAATCAACAAACCATCGCAGATTTCAAAAAATAAAAATAAAAAAGAGACATCAAGTTCTAATATAGGGATACATACCTTTGCAAGTGATAACCTGACCTTGAGTCGCCATTGACGGAGGAAGGAAGGAAGAGAGATAGATAGAGAGGGGAGACGAGTGGCGAGAGAAAGAGGAAGGAATCACGTTTTCTTGTTTTTTTTTTCTTCTCACTTATGTAGTAAACCGGGTCGGGTCGGGTTTGTTAATAAATTAATAATGAAGTGAGTGAGTAAAGTCCGATTTAAAAGTAGTAAGTATGTAGGTAGGCCCATGAGACGTTATCACAACGTGCTTTCTGCAACAATTGTGACATTCATTACCAACCAATAAGCATTTAATAGTTGGATTTTTGACTCGTGTTACATATGTGTCTGCTGAACTTTTGTATAAACCTAGGATTAATTCGTCGGTTTGATTTAAAAAAAGGATTAATACTACGTCAGCTATATTATGAGTGAATATTAATTTATTCCACTTTATTTTTTTTTATTATTTAACTTTTTAATCGGGGCTTCTAGCTCAAGTGGTAGATGGCTTACAGCTGTGAATACCGCCACTTGTTCGAATCCCGGCCATTGGGAATTAACATTTTGGCATCGCCAGAGAAAGAGATAGATGACCGACACGTGGCAACATGTGACTAATCTGGATCACTTCTGTGAGGCCAGGATACCTCAATATAATTTCAAAAAAAATAAATAATAATAATACTTATTTTTCATGTTTTTGTTTTACTTCACTTTACTGGTAATAAAATCAATCACAATGGGTTGTATGAAGAGGGGAACGAATACTAAAAACGACAACTAGAACAGGTTGTTTAAGTTTTCATGGCTGATCTTTGAAATTACAGTTTCATGGATACAAGTTTTTTATTGTTGCTCTTGGACCATATGTAACAAGCTCTTGAACCCTCAAACTGTGAGGGTTTTTGCTTGATTTTATAAAAACAATTGGACTATATGTAACCCTTTTTTTTTTTTGAACACCATGTAACCTTTTTTTAAACACCATGTAACCTTTTTTCTAGTTGATGAATGTAATAGATTGTTATATTATTATATTGCAGAGGAATGGAAGGAGATTGGAAATGGTCTAATGCTTCAGCATCATAACATTGCATACTCCTCTTTGATAACAATATAAAGGTAAGGGTACTCTGTTACAAACAACAACAGAAAACAATATTTTTTTTACATTTCTTTAAATGCAGTCTCTTTAGATAAAAGAAAATGTCTGAATAAGAGTGAAAAAGATTTTATGGAAACCCAAAAAATGGCTTCTTTCTTCCTTATCACTCTAATGTATAATTCTAGGCTACCTCGGACAAGTTCCAATCAGGATAGGTGTTTGGTCCAGTGAAGTTAGACGTTACACCTGTATTGTACTGGAAGATCCTCAGTGAACCCTCCTACAGTATATTAAAAAAAAACATCAGTATCGGTTTTCATATTAATCTTTGATGATGAATGATAACTTTTATCAGATTTTTTTTTTTACCTTGGTACCATAAACAAGGCCACCTCCAGGAGAAGGGTGAAAACAAGCAACATTCACTTCATCCTCTGTGCTAGGGAGTACTCTGACAAGCTCCATATCCGAAACTCTGTAAATCTGATCCACACACAAACACACAACTATGTTATATCCTCAATTGTATACAACAATACACGGATGTAGCAAAGGGAATTTACCTCCAACACTGTGAAAAATTGTGATGTAGTTGCACCATCACTAACGATGCTATTCAAAAGAGAACTATGATGCCGTCCATATGAAAGCAGTATATGCTCGGAGGTGGGCGAGAACTGCACCCAAAATCCTCAGTTAATATTTTTTTTTAAAGCATCATCAACAACTTACTATTTACAAACATAAATTTTCTTCTCTAGTAGCTATTATCTCTAACAAGTGACTTGACATCATCACATGAATCCATAAAAAACATCCTTAGAAAGGAGACAAACCTGGATAGATGTCAAGCAATGCGCAGCTCTAATTTCCCGTGACACAAGTACTGAAGCAAAGCTGTAAAACATAGATAAATACATACTTTACTGAATCTGTTATTCGTGGAACGTGTGTTTTTAAGAAGGTAGAATTAACACAATGAGATATAGGTTTAAGTGGCAATTACCTTTCCTTTTGGAGAGAATAGACACGAAGCTCGTAAATGACTTGGTGTGCTGTGAGAGGGTGTTGAGTTGGGGAAGTTGCAAGCCCTAAATCTTGTTGTGCTAGTGTCTGCAGTCCAGGACCTATCTCAGTATGAGGAACAGCACATGTAACACAGGCTGCTAAATATCTCCCGCACGGCGAAATATGAGCTCCCATCTCACTGCAAATATCAAAAACAATATAAACAAAAAAAAAAAAAAAAAGTAAGATCATAAAGCATTCAAGTGAAAGGAATTAAGTTT